CCCAAGGAGCAGCAGCTGAGGAGCGTCTGGCCCAAGCACTTTTCCACCTCTCTAAGAGCCGGCCGAGCGCGGCAGCACTGGGGCACCTGCCCACCGCCGCTCTGTGCGTTTGCTTGTGCGCGTCACACAAGCACCTTTCCCTCCTCAGTGACATTCCTCGGGATAATTCGGGCTCAGAAAGCACAACTTGCACAGCGGGCTTGCTCAGGCACCCAATTCCCCCTCCCTTTTGGCCCCTGCAATGTGGCATATTGCCATGTACAACCAACTCCTAATAGGAGGCACCAAGCTGCAGGTGCCTCAGTGCTCTCCCATGCCATCCATCACCTGGAGCAGCATTTCCTGGAGCAGGAAAGCACCAGACTGAGATGCCTATTGTGGTGATTCTTAAGATTTAAACATTTTTTCTTCTTTTTCTTTTGTTACCTGGCCGAAAATATAAAGGAGGCCAATGGTCCCTCCTACTTGACCTCCAAGGACAGTAGAAATCATGGAGTAGACTCCTCCGCTTCCGATGCTGCACCGCTCGCAGACCCCAATTCCAGATAAGACCGTTACCAGGGCAACCAAGACGACAAAGGACACCAGGAACATGCCCATTAAAATTCCAGTGTTTCCCTGTAATGGAAAAAAAAAACAAGAAAAGATCAACTCCTGCAGGGAAGATTACTCAGGACAGATGAAAAACTCTACGTCTAAATACTAGTGATCGCCGAATCTGGAGTCATTGTAGAGTTAAAGGGAAAATAAAACCACACATTTTACTTTGTATAATTAACATAATTCATTGCCAAATTTGTGTTTCCAATTAAGCTGCCTGAGGAAAACCTGCTTTGTTCTATGGCTGGACAGGTTTTTACACGATAGTGTTTTTTGTCACTGGGTTCCTGCATGAATTGTTCTTTTTGTCCTCTGATTAAAAAAAAAATAAATCAAGAAATTCATCCAACTGAATGATTCAGCTGCTCCATGCTCTATTTGCCTGTTAGAGTTAGAAGGAAATATAAAAGAAAATATCAAACGCAAACTTTCAAAATTAAACATTTGGGGGTTGTGAGAGCTGATTTTTTTTTTTATAACTTTAAGCCAACACTTCAATTTTTCAGAACATTTACCTTTAAAAGATCTAACCCTGCCCAAAAAGAAAAAAAAGAAAAAAAAAAGATAACAAAGAACAAACCCCCAAAGGAAACACTGCGTGGAAGATAAATAACACCCTCATAAACCCTTGCATGCGGTGCGTTATCTGCACACAACATGCAAAGTAGCAGGTGCTCTGGCTCTCATTTTACTCTTATACAGTTTTCTTCGGGATATTCAGCCCTGCTGGAAAAGCTTCCGGATGTGGAGCAGAGGAAGTGCCCGGGGAGGGCGTGCGGCACCCAAGGACACTCACGGCAGCACGAAGGGCAGAAGGCTCTGAGCAAAACCCTGTTGGGAAGGGCCAGCATCACCCAAACCTTCAAGGGTTCAGTTTGCCATTTATCATCAGGTTTTCTCACAGAGGAGGCTGACTGGTAGCTCCAGAAGCAGTGGAGCACCTCTCCTGCTCCCAGCACCTCCCAATCCTCTCTCACAGGTCACCATTTATTTTATTTTCCTCAAGCTCCAGCCACCTGCTCCTGCTGGCAGTAGGGTCCGGTGCAAAGCAGTTCCAGTGACACCATGGGTACTGCAGAAGTGCAGTGCCCACTGCACCAACAAGCCTGGCTTCCTTTCCACTGCCTTTACCCGTGTTACAGGCCACGTCCACATCACTCCTAGCCTTGCTCCTTCTCCTCCTGCTCCCGTCGTCCTCATTCCCGAGGTCAGGACAGCCTCAATACGGGTTTGCTTGCTATCAGCAGCAAGACGCTGCTCCTCCAGCTTTGGGGCTGGTTGGTGGCCCAGATATTTTCTTTTTTTCCTCCTCTTTTTTTGTGAGACAACAGAAACATCCAGGATGTTGCTATCATCATAAAATCCTATTTTGGTTCAGCATCCCGCTGTCTCTGACAGCAGCTTTATCTGGTCAGCAGGGAATGAAGCCAAGGTTTGTTATGGACACAGCTGCTGGCTGGCTCAGCACCACACAGTCCTCTAGAACCGGACACTCCTTTCCAGCGGGACCATTGCTCGTTTCCTTCTTGCTTATTCTTTTGCTTAAAAGAGTTAATAAACACGACACACTTCAGTGAGAAAGGAAAAAGAAAGGAAAAAAGGAAAAGCTTGCACATGCTCACACAGCCTGGGGCTTTTCCATACGCGGGCTGAGCTACTGCCCAAGCTAGTTAATCGGCAACCCAACGGCTTCCCCAGCAGAAAGGGTTAATGGTGAAAGCAGGAGCAATGCCCGGAGGGAGAACGGCTGAGCTAACAACAATAGCGAGCACAGAGAAAGTGGGAGGAAAAAGGCCAGATTAAATCCCATACTTATTTATGCATGCGTGCTGGAAGGTGTCACAACCCGGGCGAGCGGTTAGTGTAGCATTAAAACAGTTGCTTAACAGCATGGTAAGATCAGCGTCCCCCGGGACCGCAAGCAAGCCCGGCCCTGCCCGGGAAATGAGCAGCCCGGCCGGAGCCTGCGGCAGGATCCACACAGGACACTGCCCTGCCACGTGGGCCCTGCCAGCCTCGACGCCTCCTCCCTTCCTTGCACACCAGCTTCCAGCTGCTCTGCTTTTTTTCTCTTTTATTTACTTAATTTTTATTTGTGTTTGCTCCAGCAGGAACTTTAAAAGGAGATATGGAAGAAAAAGGAGCAAAAGGAAAAGAGCTAGGAAAATCACTCTGGCTCCTTCGCCAAAACAGATGGCACTTTCCCCACACAGTTTCTGCCCGCAAAGGCGAAGCGAGTGCAGTACAAGGCAAGGTGGCACTGAGCAAGCCGGTCTGCATCCCTTGGGGAATGGGGCTAGACACCAGGCTCCAGTTTGCATCCTGATACAAGCCTGGAGCAGCCCCATTTCATCTCTGCTGTGCCATGGACTCACTCTTCTCTGAGGAGCTTTCTTCAGTGTGGGCCCAAATATTCCATGTAATTCTCAGGGAATCCACTTCCAACATACAGTGCAAATTCCTTCCCAAAGCATGAGAAAGATGTCTCCTGTGCTCATGACACAAACTTGTGCTGTGACCTGAACTTTAACCATTCCCTAAAGAAGCTTTCCCTTTCCTATGGGAATTTTTAAGGGACTGTGCAAGGTGCTGCATTAGGAAGAGCCCTATGTTGCACTGCAGTTTAGCAGACACTTTTCCAGGCTCTGACCGTCAGTGAGACACTACCCTGGATCCAAAGGTGGAAATTTTTCCGTCAGCAAGGGCAATTTCACAATTAAGGGCTCTCTCTTCAAGACAGAGGGACTCCAAGTTGAACTGACACGTTTGAAATAGCTCAACTTCAGAGGAACACAGTAGAATAGATGCAATTACAGCAAAACATTTTGCCTAAAAAGCTGTATTTTGATGCAACAGTAGAACACAAGAGCGTCCCTGTTTACTTGCTAGATGGGTTGGTTTCAGTTGTGACAGTTTTTGGTCTTTCTGAAGGTTGAAAGCCTTTATAAAGACCACTTTAGCCTTCTATTTTAGTGCAACACTCTGAAACGCTAAGCAGAAATACCAGGGGGCTTAACCGAGCCACTTCCCAGAATGAAAAGTGTAGAATCAAAAATGCTCCTGTGGAGACGAAAAAGAGAGACAAGGAGGTGAAGAGGGAACTACCACCACCTAATTCACATGTTCAACCAGTTCAGCACTCACTCACCACAAGCCATCCGGTCCTCAAAAAGAGAACCACTCCAAAAATGTTGATCATGCACGACGTGAAGACACCATCCCACGTCCCAAAAAGCACCGGCTCCCACACGAACAACTGGATCTTCCACCAAGGCTTCGTCTGTGTTTGAGGCACCTAGAGGAAAGCAGAGCCCTCGGGTTTACCTCTCGGTCCTTACGCAGGCTGTGGAGCGGCGCTTGCGGTCACTGCTACACGGATGCTCAGCTAATGGTGTTGCTACTTCAGGCCCATTCACCTGCCACGGCGCTGGGCAGAAGGGGCTCCAGAGACATTCAGGGGTGGAGACACGGGCTACGGGAGGAACCAGCTGCCCAATGTACCTGCTGTGCTTCTTCGTGGAACAGATCCTGCACGTAGGCCTCGCTCCTCGTGCTGCTCAGGCCGAGCATCGTGTCCTCCCTCCGGGCCTGCGCGCAGCCGCCGCGCTAACAACGCGGCGCGGGGAGCACGAGGTCAGCTCTTCCACTCCGCCAAACCCCTGCTGCGCTGGATCCTCCGCTGTGGAGGACTCATGGCTTTATTGCACCTGCTGTGAAAGAAGAGAGGGCAGAAGGCGCTGCTGTGGCTTACTGAGTCTGCAAAGGCTGCTCCGTGCCCAGAGGCCAAGCTGACCCACAACCACGGCGCAGGGACACAGCGATCGGCAACAGCCCCACGGCACCTTCCTGGAGGCGGCCTGAGGCAGGGACTGTGTCACCAGCCCTATTACTAGCGCTTCTAAATGTGCTTTTCTTTATCTGCTCATACTCCTGGCACTCTCAGCACTAGCTCCAGAGCTTCATTACGCACCGTCTGGGAAAAGCACGTCCTCTCACTAGCTTTAAATCTGGCTCCTGGTAATTTCATTGCATGCCGTCAGGCTCCTGTGATACAGGAAATGCAGTGTTGACCTCTACTTCACCATCTGAAAGCCACTAATCATTTCACGGCCTTGATCATATTCCCCTCAGTTGCCTCCTAGAGTCCTATTTAATCTCGCCCCCCTAGACAAGCATCTGTACCTCTTCTGCACCACAGAGGTGGAATTGAAGCAGTTCAAGGTGTTCACCCCAGATTTACACACTGGATTTCTGATGCTCTCCTCTTCAGCTTCTTCATTGCCACTGAGCTCCAAGCAGCTGTTTCCAACAAACCAGCCGCATCTTCCCCAGCGATGCTCAGATGTCCTTCCTCGTGGTCATACCCACGCCCAGAGGCCAGTTGCCTGTCTGCAGTGACCTGACTTCAAATTCGTACCTGCCACAGGGCAGGCTCCAGAATTGGGTCAGGCTTAATTAAACACAAGGCCTGTTGCTGCAGAGTACTGCCTGGCTTTATTTCAAGGATCACTTGAAGCATCCTTGGAGAAGGGGAAATCTAGCGCAAGCATTTCTCTGCCTTGATACTGCTAGTTCCTCTCCTCTTTGGGCTTGTTCTTCCCCTGGCCCTTGGGAGCTGCTTTTATGCATCTCCTCCCAGCTGGCAGCAAACCTAACTTTCCCCAAATGATCTTGCATGGCCATCAACCAGCTGCCCAGGCCAAGGAGCCTGGCCAGAGCTCAACACAGCTGCACTGCACCTAGAAAATCAGAAGGGCTGCAGACGTGATAAGCAGAAAGGACAACAAGGCAGGGCCCTCGGAGAGAGCAATTTATCTGGTTCCTTGGCTCTCCTGGGGCTGGTTTAGCATTTGACTGGTTGGGATCACGTGCTGACAAGAAGAACCAGTTGTGATCACACGCTGTGCTTGCAGCTGGACTCCTCACCTGAGACCAGAGGCCCAATTTAGGATAAGCAGAGCGTGGGAATCACCGACTCCTCCAGCTTCCAAGCTAAAGGCACGAGGCAGGCAAGGAAACAAGCTAAAAGGAAGGGGCAGGCAAGGAAACGTGTTCTTCCTATTTCACAGGGACAGAGGTAAAAACTGAGTGAAAGCTACCCAGGGTCACCCAGGTTTTCTGCATCAGGGTCCAAATCTCCAGTTCCCCAATTAGCACTTCTACCACCTGTCCTCTATTATTCTACTTTAAAATACAAAATAGTAAATAACCAACCCTGCTGCTGCTGCACTTGGTGTTTCGGGAGCAGCGGGTTCCCTGCTGACCCTGGCACAACAGACAGCACAGGAGGGTTTTCTTTGCCCTGTACACGTGGCCTGCTAAGCAGCACCGAAGCTGATAGGAGTTCATTGATTCCCTGCTGCTTGCTCCCCTCTTTTTGTGGCAAATAATCCTTTACAATAACCCAAATGGCTGCTGTTACAGGGAGATTGGGACTTCAAGCAGCGCAAAAGCAGCAGGAGCAGATGAACTCTTAAGAAATAAAGCCAATGTTTTTATGCAAATAGTCATAGTAATAAAAAAGGAAGAGAAGAAAACACATAACATGAAACAAGATTACAACTGAATAGAAATATTCTCCTAAGCTTCCCAATGTAGTGCTTCCTTGCAAGAGATTTTCTCACTAAATGATTCACCGTGGTCACACAAACTTGTGTTTTCACAGCAGCTCCAGACGAATGTGGAAAGAAAAGCCAGACCAGCCTCCTCTAAAACACTAACCTTGCTGCTTAACCCACTCCCGCTTAGCATGGTATAAAACCCCCTGCAAGTCTTGACATAAATCACCAATACACGGGTCCCTTCAATGCCACAAAGCCACCGAAGCAAAGATTTCACGTAGGACGCGGCGCGAGACGCAGACACAGAAGCTGAGCAAACAGCCCAGGGCAAGCTCTGCCCTTGTGCCGCCCTGACAAGGCCGCCACGGTCACTACTCACCGCATGCAAATATGTGCATGCATTTTTGCAAGATCAGGGCCTAAAACTCAGAAACTCTTTGGGGCAGGAGCTTGTCCTGCACTTTATGTAGCGCACTCATAGCACAGCGCGGTCTCTGAGCTACTGCAAAACGTGTTTGGTGGTGGTTTTATCATTTGTGCAGGCATTCACAGAGCAGAAGCTTTTTGTGCTCTACAGACTAGACTGCCACTCCCCCAAAAGCAAACAGTAATTATTTTGCTTTAATAGAAAAGAGGATCTAATACAAAACTTATTTGATATCACTTTTCCTAAAGTTTCTGCCAAAGACACTAGCCAGGCTATAAATTAAACAAAAACAGCTGTTTTACCTTCTCCATAGCATTTGGTGGTAGGAAGAGTATAAAAGCATTAAGAAAAACTCCTTGCAGTTTTAGGAAAACTGTTACCTTTCCCTGTTACTCCTTTCACTGAGAGATCTTCATATGTAATTACAGAAGTGTATTCCCACAGGTGAAATATCTGTGGCCTTTTCATCCTTTCAAGGGAATCATATCTTATTAATAGTCACACTAAAGCCAGTTTTTGGGCCAGACGTCACCGCTCGGAGCCAGGGAGCGGCTGGCTGATGTAAAGAGGAGAGGCGAGCGCCTTTCCAAACACAACTGCATGTGGTCCCACGACCTCCCAAGGCCTCTGTCCCCATCCAAGGAGGAACTTCCAAGCCTTGCTCAGCACAGACACCCAGCGAGCTGCTGGCTCTGTATCTTTAATAACTCCCCTGGATACCTCCCCCGGTTCCGCTTATTGAAAGCACCTGGGCCGGGGGAGCCGGAGGAAGGTGGGGATTGCAGGAGAGCGGAGCAGTTGCCATCAATGTCACGCTGCAGGCAGAGGTGTTCACACCCTGCCTAAGCCTGACGTGTTGCTCCTTGCTAGGGAGAGCCAGAACCACAGCCCCGATTCTTTAAAAAAAAAAAGGAAAAGTAAAAAAGTAAAAAAAATTAAAGAGCAAAAATGTTTTAAAAATGTAAAAAGACACACAAAAGAAAAACACAAAAAAAGAAAAAATACAAAAAAGAACAAAAATACAAAAAAAAACAAAAAGAAAAAAAAAACACAAAAAAGGAAAAAAAGAAAAAAAAACAAAGAAAAAAAGGGGAAAAAAGGAAAAAAAAAAAAAAGAAAGAAAGCAAAGAAACCCACAAACCCGCACACCCCC